CTCTCACTGTCCACTCAGCCTGTCAAAAAAAAAAAAAAAAAAAAGAACTGGGATCACAGGCACCTTTTACAAAGGAGGTGTAGGCCGGCGCCGCAGCTCACTAGGCTAATCCTCCGCCTAGCGGCGCCGGCACACCAGGTTCTAGTCCCGGTCGGGGCGCCGGATTCTGTCCCGGTTGCCCCTCTTCCAGGCCAGCTCTCTGCTGTGGCCAGGGAGTGCAGTGGAGGATGGCCCAAGTGCTTGGGCCCTGCACCCCATGGGAGACCAGGAAAAGCACCTGGCTCCTGGCTCCTGCCATCGGATCAGCGCGGTGCGCCGGCCGCAGCGCACCGGCCGCGGCGGCCATTGGAGGGTGAACCAACAGCAAAGGAAGACCTTTCTCTCTGTCTCTCTCTCTCACTGTCCACTCTGCCTGTCAAAAAAAAAAAAAAAAAAACACACACACACACACAAAGGAGGTGTACTCAAATCTGCAGAAGAACGAGTCTGCAGATTCAGTGGAACAGAAGCTGCTCTAGGGGCCAGCGCTGTGGCACAGCAGGTTAATGCCCTGCCCTGAAGTGCCAGCATCACATATAGGTTCTAGTCCCGGCTGCTCCTCTTCCAATGCAGCTCTCTGCTGTGGCTTGGGAAAGCAGTAGAAGATGGCCCAAGTCCTTGGGACCCTGCACTCACATAGGAGACCAAGAAGAAGCTCCTGGCTCCTGGCTTCGGATCGGCACAGCTCCAACAGTTGCAGCCAATTGGGGAGTGAACCATCGGATGGGAAGACCTCTTTCTCTCTGCCTCTCCTCTCTCTGTGTAACTCTGACTTTCAAATAAATAAATCTTTAAAAAAAAAAAAAAAAAAAAAAAAACCTGCTCTAGCCGCGCCAGAGCACATCACACTTCTGGGATCAGCAGAGGGGATCTGACATGTTAGGCTACCCCACTGCACACCTGAAGGCCTGCAACCAGGGCAGGACACCAAATAACACAGGGACTCAGGCCTCATCCACAAAACCGCTACATCATCATCTGCTCCAGGCCCTCTCCAGAGGTGCCATGAAGACCCAACCAGATAACACAGGAAAGTGACACAACTGATCAAAGCTTCAGTCATGCATCAAATGAGGGGCAGTAACACACCTCCAACAGCAACAGGAAAGAGGAACACAGGCTGGTCAATATCTGCCCGCCTGAAACTGCCCTTGGCCTCCTCAAAACCACACCTGGCCACAGCACCCTCTGGCCACATCCCAGCCATGAGAAGGCTTTCAGGCACTTCACAGGGCGACCAAGATGGGCCACTTTCTGTTTGACCATCTGAGAGCGGCCAACTGAAGCCAGTTACCACCAGTACCCAGGACCTGGGAGTTTTAAAACAATGGTTTCCAGATCAGCTCAAGAGTTACATTGTGTAAAAATTCTGGGAACAGAGGTGGGAGTTTAGCCTAGTGATTAAGAAGCTGGTTAAGATGCCCAAGTCCCACATCAGAGTACCTGGTTTCAACGTGCAGCTCCAGATGACTCCAGCTTCCTACCAATGTGGACCCTGGGAAGCAGCAGATGATAACTCAAATAACTGGGTTTCTGCAACCCACATGGGAGGCAACTGAGTTCCCAGCTCCTATCTATGGCCCAGACCAGCCTTGGCCGTTGACAACATTTGGGAAATGAACCAGAGGATGTGAGCACTCTTTGTCTCTCTGCATCTCCAATAAGTGAAATTCTGGCAACAGAAGCCAGCAAAGGGTGTTCATCTTTATTTATTTTTTAAGATTTGTTTATTCATTTGAAAGAGCCACAGAGAGAAGGGGGGGAGGGGAGAAAAGGGGAGAGAAAGAAAGAGAGAAAGAGAGAGAGATCCCATCTGCTGGTTCACTCCCCTAGATGGCCACAAGAGCTGGGGCTAGGCCAGGTCAAAGCTAGGAGGCAGGAGCTTCTTCCAGGTCTTCCACATGGGTAGCAGGAGCCCCAGCAACTGGACCATCTTCTGCTGCTTTTCCCAGGCCATTAGTAGGGAGCTGGGTCAAAAGTGGAATAGCTGGGACATAAACTGGTGCCCATATGGGATGCGGCGCTGCAGACAGCGGCTTTACCTCCACAATGTCTTCTTTACTTACAGATGACATCTACGGTAAGGCAATTTCACATGACACAGGGCCTTTTCTGGCAAGATCCACTTAAAATTGAAATGTTAAAAGCCAGCTGAAGGGGGGGCCGGCATTGTGGCACAGCAGATTAAGAGGCCGCTCGTGACACCAGCATCCCATATGGGCACTGGTTTGAATCTGGCTTCTGATCCAGCTCCCTGCTTATGTTCCTAGGAAAGCAGCAGAGGACGGCCCAACCTCTTGGGTCCCTGCACACACATGAGGGGCCTGGATAAAACTCGTGGCTCTGGCCCAGCCCAGCCCTGGCCATTGCAGACATTTGGGGGGTGAACCCTTGCTCTCTGTAGCTCCGCCTTTCATATAAATAATCTTAAAAAAAAAAAGCCAGCTGAAAAAGACCAGGTCTCTCAGTTTATTTATTTATTTTTAACAAAAGATTTATTTATGTTACAGAGAAAGGTAGAGTCAGAGAGAGAGGTCCTCCATCCACTGGTTCGTTCCCTAGATGGCCGCAACGGCTGGAACTGTGCCAATCCAAAGCCAGGAGCCAGGAGCTTCCTCCAGGTCTCCCATGGGGGTGCAGGGGCCCAAGGACTTGGGCCATCCTCCACTGCTTTCCCAGGCCATAGCAGAGAGCTGGATCGGAAGAGGAGCAGCCGGGACTAGAACTGGCGCCCATATAGGATGCCAGCGCTTCAGGCCAGGGCTTTAACCCGCTGCACCACAGTGCAGGCTCCGAAGTCTCTCAATTTAAACACATCCCTTCTGAAAAGTTTTCATCTTTCACTAGCTCAGCTGTTATCCACAAGGACTACAGGGAAAAACATCCATTTTTCTCCCAACAAGTTTCAGAAATGCCCCCTCTGTTTCTGTGGCAAGATTAGACTTTAGCATCAAAGTTTTAGTCATCACTATAATTATTTTTGATGTGTTTATTTTAAGAGGCCACCCTCATCCACACTAGTTCATTTCCATCAATGAAGGATTACATATACAAGTGTGACGACAGCTATACCAGATGGCCTGTATGTGCAGTGCACTGTACCACTGGGTTTGTGTAAGAGCATTCTACGACGTCTGCCCAATGACGAAATCGCCTAATGACGCATTTCTCAGAACATATCACCATCGTTAAGCAAATTACGACTGTGTGCACATTTATCAGATGAGAGGGAAAACAAGGGCTTTAAAGCCCTCCAGTAGGGGCAGGTTTTTGGCACAATGGGTAAGTGTGCCAAATTTGAGCCTCAGCTTCTCCGCTTCTGATCCATTTTCCTCAGTTTCCTGAAAATGTACACCCTGGGAGGCAGCAGATAGGGCTAAAGTACTTGAGTCCCTGCAACCCACATAAGAGACCTGGATGGAGTCCAGGCTTCTGGCTTTGGCCTGGCACAGCCCTAGCTGTAGCAGACATTGGGGGAATGAACTAGTTGAGAGGAGAGCTCTCTTTGTCTGCCTCTTAAATAAAATGAAAATATATAAACAGTTTTAAAAAGCCTTCAGGGATGGGCGTTGTGATACGGCAGGTTGAGCCACATTCCATACAGTGCTGGTTTGAGTCCTGGCTGACTATTCTGTGTTTCCTATCCAGCTTCCTGCTAAAGCGCCTGGGAAGCAATGGGTGAGGGCCCAAGTACTTGGGTTCCTGCCGCCCAAGTGGTGAGGGCCCAAGTACTTGGGTTCCTGCCGCCCAAGTGGGGGACCCAGATGGAGTTCCTGGCTCCTGGCTTCAGCCTGGTCTAACCTTGGCTGTTGTGGGTATTTGGGGAGTGAACACTCTTACTCACTCTCTGTCACTCTGCCTTCCAAATAAATGGGTAAATCTTAAAAAATAAAAAATCCCTCCAATAAGTATAAATTTCCTATGTGTAAATGCAATAGATGGGGATAAAAGTGAAGGATGCAATAACTTCCCATGATAGGAATTTCAGAATCACAGAACTTTCAGTTTAAGGCAGCTTACACGCTAGCCGAGCGCCCCACAACACAGACAAGGAGACAGAAGTGTCAGGCTCTGCCTAAGACAGAGAAGAGCACCACAGCGTCGCTGAGGAAGCAGGACAGGCTGAGTCCACGGAGGGACAGTCCCCAGGAAAGAAGAATCATTCCAAATGCTCAGAAATCCGCTCAGGGCAGGGGCAAAGGTCACTGGCCGGGTGGGGCTGGTCACTGGTAAGGAAAGTGTTTTCCACAGTAGCTGCAATCATGTTATTTCATAACTTAAACACCTGCTTTGTCACAATCACTGGAAAAAGGGGAAACGGGGAGAAAAAGGAGAATGAGAAAGAAAAATGAAGACTCTCCCCTCTGATTTCCTAGGTCTGCCTAAAAGAGGGTGTCTCCCTGATGCTGACCTTAATGAGGACCTTCTTAAAGCTGGTCCAACTGGTGTGCAAGTTCCTGGACTGAAAAACAAGTTTATGGGCAGCGCGGTCACCTGATTCTGACCATGTGTGTGCTGTTTACCCTGAGATGACAGGCTGGTGGCCACCACCACTCTGATGGAAGCTGGAAAGACTCTCCTACTCCTCTGAAGCCTACCAGGGCCTCTACATGACTCAATGCCATAAAAAGGAGTGTGAACGGAGGGAAGTCACACACTACACACCAGTGGGAAAACCCCACTGCGGGTGCTGAACCGTACTTGTTACTTGTTTTTCTGATCTGTGAGGCATGTAATGACATCATCACTAAAAAAAAAAAAAAGCCCCTTGCTTTACCATTAACACCCCTACTTGCTCTCAGGGCCTAATGCTCAGACCAGCCATGGTCAAGGAACACAGAAAGCCCAGACCCATGGGCTCAGCAGCTCGCAGGGTCACGGTGTCAGCCAGGAAACTTCGAACTCTGACCACCTGGAACAGTTTCAGTGTTGGGGAAAGAGGGTGCTACCGAGGGGCTTACCCATCTCTTCCTTTGCTGACAATCTTCACCTCAAAGTAATAAATGCCACAGGCTGCAGGGATGGGGTGCGTGGCGCGCACCGAGGCTGCGTCTTTGTGATTTTTGCCATGACCTATAGGAGAGGGCAAGGAAGAAATTTCAGGAGAAGGAAATGCAGATGGGAAGCCAGAGGACACTCTTACAGTCTCCAAGGAATACCTAGACAACTGAGTCAACACACACACCTCCTCCTGAGCCGCTGTCCTCCCCCCCAACAAGGGTAGACGCAATACGGGTGCACGTGAGGGACAGCCAAGTGCTACCAGCAGTCTCTAGAATGCAGGCAGCCCACCGGAGAGACCAGGGGAAGAAGAGGGCAGACCTGGAAAACACCTCCTCCACTTTAGCAGAGAACCCCTGGCCTAGTCCTGGATGACTGGCAGGCAGGCAAGCCCATGGGGCTCCGGCTAATGGTGGAGATGTGACCAGCACACTCCAGAAACTAAGCATTGATAAAGGACCGAGCTGGCGCTGCGGGAGGCAGCCCAAGACAAGCAAGGAGGCCCTGAAGTGGAAGGTCCAGGCCAGCACTGGGTTTGGACACCTGTTGCAGTTCTCTTGACGCTGGGGGTCTCGGGCAGAGCAGAGCCGGCAGTCAACCCTCGGCCTGGTCAGCCCCAGCACACTGGACATTCCACAGGGGCTAAGGCCTAACCCAGAGCACCCACGCAGGGAAAAGGCCGTGATGGGGCAGGTGTAGGCAGCACAGCCACAGCCGTACCGCAGATGCTCTGGCCTGGTCCCCCCGTGGTCACACGGACGATACCTTTGTAGTGGACGCGGAGGTTGCCTTGGGAGAGGCCGATGTAGTTGTACTTGTCCTTGGGGCTCCAGGAGCGCGGCAGCGGCGTCTCGTGCTGGTTGACCGCGGGGTACAGACGCTGCAAGCGTCGGCTCAGCTCCTGCTCCCCCGGGGACGGAAGCCCGCCCCCAGCGCCCCCACCGGAGGAGTCTCCAGGCTGCGGGTTCCCAGCTCCCGGGTCTGCCGTCGCCGCCGCCATCTTGGAGGGAGCTGCTATTGTGTCACTGGGGGCGGGGAGGAGCAGGACTAGATCCGCCCCGCTCAGCCAATGGCCCGCCAGCCTGCCGGGGCCGCAGGGAAACCGAGTCCGAGTCCGGCACCTCTCTTTGGACACTGCCCCTCCTTGCCACACTTTGGACTTCAAATCCCACAATGCACAGCTCTCCGGAGGCGGGCCGGTAGAGAACTATGGGAGTTGTGGTACAAACCATCTCAGCCATGAGCCTGCCCTACTGAGATGCTGGGGCATCAAAAACTACAGTTCCCGCCAGCAAATCGGAACCGGGTCTCTCAGCGCCCCTCCTTCCCCCGAGGCCTCGGTTCATGCCCCTGATTCAGTTCTGGTAGTTGGGGTCCAACGCACTGCAGGGACCGGCTCTCGGGGCACCCGGCTCCCCAGTCCGAGTCCATCTTTGCCACCTGGCCTTCTCCCAGCGGGCGGGCGCAGGGTCTAGAGGCGTGGCACAATCTTGGCCCCGCCCCCGCCGCGGGGCCGCTGGGGCCTGGTCGTCATGACAACGGGCTGTACACTACCACAGCTAACCAGGCGGCGGGTGCTGGCTGCCCGCTCGCCTGCCTGCCTGCCCGAGTCGGGTAATGGACTCCTCACAGTCGCGGTGCTGCAGCTTCTCGTCTGTGTCGAGGTAGGCGCCGGGCGGGCTGAGGACAGAGAGGAGGGTTTGAGTACCTCCAGAGAAGGAAATGGCATCTGGAACAGACCTCTGAACCTCCTGCTGGCCTGTGTCCTTCTGTGTGAGGCTCTGGCCCGGACACAGCGGTGCAGAAAGCCCGGCTGACTTAGCCCACTGAGGACGTTACCTGCTGGCAAAAGGGCGGACGCATTTCGCCAGTAGTAGTAACTGCCAGCTTGCACTGAGCGTGTTATATATGCCGAGTGCGTTGTATACCACATTTAACCCTCACAACGACTCAATGAAGAAGTAGTATCACCACTTTACAAATGAAAAAGTAGCAGTGTGGAGAGATGATGTCTTTTACCTACATGTGCGGATAAGTAGTGGAGTTAAGATGTGAACCCAGCTACGTCAGACTTCTGAACTGGAACCCTTAGCTACAGGGACAAACTATCTCTTCACCCATGAGTTAGTTGGATTTATGACAAAGATATTTGTTGAATTTAGGCTGACTCTAAGCAGCCTAGGCATATCTCACAGCCTCTTCAAGTAGCTCCAGATTCAGGGGTGCCGCCTCCAGGCACTGTAAAATATGACACAAGTCCCATTGATCAGGAAAGCCGCCTATATGGATTCACACAAAAATTTCACCTAAATACCTTCCTAGCTTCTGAACCTGATAGAAGGCCCTTAAAGTTACAGGCACTGGTTTCTGTATCTCAAACAGGAGGATGATACATTGTTGGGAACATTTAGCAAGAATATGGGAAGCTGTCACCACTGCTCTTGCACATAGTAGGCATTCAGGAAATTTTAAATAATATAGTTTGCCTCTTCTAATTATGGCCAATGCAAAAAATCCTGACCTCACCTGAATTCTCATCCTTCAGGGTCTGCTCCCATGAAAAGCCCACAAGAGTCCCCTAAAACAGGAAATGCCAATTTACCTGTTTTATCCAGAGGAAAATCAGTCTGCAAGAACCAAGCAGCAGACTTGAGAGAGGTGTTCCACAGCACAGGCGTGATTTGGGAAACTGCAGTCGTCTGTGACAAAGATAGGGAGCAAACTCAGAAAGAGAATCCCCATCCGTCCTCAGAAGGATGCACAATGTAATTGACGAGGCTAAATTGGGTGGCAGTCCCAAGCATCTTCCATCACTATATTCCGCATTCAAGTATTTGTGATCTCTTATACATTGGACCAGGCTCAGTGTTTGCTTTAGAGATACGGGGTGAGTGTGTCCACCTGCTCCACTGAGAGCAGAGCCAGGATGATGGATGGGCCAGACCTCAGCACCGTGAAACGTAGCAGAGGGATCCTCTACAAGAGACCCTGGAATTGCATATTTTCCCAGGGACAGACTTCTCTCTATTGGCTTCTCTCCCTTTCTCCTCATTTTCCTGGCAAAATTGCTTGCTGGCTGAAATTGAGCAGCTTGAGGTCACAACCCTGACACACCCACTAAATAACAGTTTTCTGCAGCCTTGAAGCAGAAATATGGCTCTCATTCCCCTGAGAAGATTGATGTAAAACATTTTATGTAATACTAAAGAAGCATCCTAAGCTTTTTGAACAAGTGAATAGGCTCTTCCCGGTGTTCTGTTTGTTTTATAAGTCCATTTCTTTTTCTTTTTTTTTTTTACTATTATCTCTATGACATTCAAAACTGATAACAGGCACCAGTGTTGTGGCACAGCCGGTTAAGCCACCGCCTGTGGTACCCATTTCCCACATCTGAGCAACTCCCTGGTTCTAGTACCAGCTGCTCCTCTTTAGATCCAGCTGTCTGCTACCGTGCCTGGGAAAGTAGCAGAAGATTGCCCGAGTACTTGGGCCCCTGCCACCCACTTGGGAGACTCAGATGGAGTTCCAGGCTCCTGGCTATAGTTTGGACCAGCCCCAGCCATTGCAGCAATCTGGGGAGTGAACCAGATGATAGAAGATCTCTCTCAGTCTCTCTTTGTCTGTCACTCTTTCAAATAAATAAAATAAATCTTTTTAAAGATAAAATAAAAATAGCAAGAGTGGGCATTTGACAGAGCGGTGAAGACGCCACTAGAGCTGCCTGCATTCCACATCACAGTTCCTGGGTTTGAGTCCTCACTCTGCTTCCAATCCCAACTTCCTGGGAGGCGGCAGCTGATGGCTCCTGTGGTTGGGTCCTTGCCACCCTACCAGAGATCTGGTTTGAGTTCCTGACTCCCGGCATTGGCAGTTGCAGGCTTCTAGGGAATGAGCCAGCAGACGGAAGATCTGTCCGTCTGTCTCTCTGCCTTTAAATAAATAAACATTTTTGAAACAACTAACAACATCTGTTATCTATGGAACTTTGCCACTAGGCAGTTTGTCAGGATTTGTAGAGTTCAGCGTAGTTCTCTTGCTTACCTGGCCTTTTGTGGTGCTTCCAATATCAGCAAGAAGAACAGAATTTGGGAAATTAATTGGCCTTGCTAGGAGGATATTGATTAGCCCAGTGAACAGATGGGTTTGATGTGCTGTCTCAGACCCCAGCACATCTGCGCAGACACCCTTCCTTCTCCACACCAGCTGCTCATGCCACATGTTTGTTCACACTTGTCTGATGTGGAGAGACAACAGAGCTCTAGGGCTGGGGGAGGCACGGCTCCATGCAGTAGGACTGGAGAGCCCTGCAGGACAGGATTTCCCAGCGTGGCTCATGGGAGTGCACTCAACTTCCCTACAGTTTGGCAATCCGATTTCCATGTTTATAGGCAAAGACTCAGAGGCTCAGAGAGGTTAAGCAGCATGCCCAGGGCCACCTGCTAGCCAGGGGAGTAACACACAGATCCGCCACACACTCCAACCCCCTGGATTGCTACACTTACCACTTCCTCCATCCTACCTGCGTCTGCCTACCCACACGTAGCCCTCAAAATGCCTTCCTAGCTTGAACAAGGATGACTCTGGAAAAAAAAAAAAAAAGGCTTGGGTATCGGAGACCTTAGGTGTCTAACCACTTTTCATTCATCCTGCTGTCATAACGCATGTGCAGCTCTTTGCAGCTTACTATTTTGCATATTTCTTTCACTCTTACTTTTTTTTCTAGAAAGATCTACCACACTGAAATGCATGGCAGAACCTGGCTACTTCTCTTTTTTAAATTTTTTTCAAGATTTATTTATTTATTTATTTGAAAGGAAGCATTACAGAGAGGCAGAGACAGAGAGAGAGAAAGGTCTTCCATCTACAATGGCTACAATGGCCATTGGGGAGTGAACCAGCAGATGGAAGACCTCTCTCTCCCTGCCTCTGCCTCTCTGTAACTCTGCCTTACAAATAAATAAATATTTTTTAAAAACATATATATTTATTTGAAAGGCCGGCACTGTGGCATGACAGTTTAAGCTGCCGCCTGCAATACTGGCATCCCATATGGACACCAGTTCAAATCTCAGCTTCTCCACTTCTGATCCAGCTAATACACCTGGGAAAGCAGCCCAAGTCCTAGGACCCCCTCACCCACGTGGGAGACCCAGAAGAATTCTAGGCTCCTGGCTTCAGCCTGATCCAGCCCTGGCCATTGCAGCCATCTGGGAAGTGAACCAACAGATGGAAGATCTCTCTCTCTATATATATATATCTCTATAACTCTGCCTTTCAAATAAATAAAACAAATCTTAAAAAGACAGAGAGGGAGAGGCAGAGAGAGAGATCTTTGACCTAATGGATCATTCCCCAAGTGGCCGCAACAGTTAGGAGTGACTGAGGACAAAGCCAGGAGTCAGAAATTCCGTCCTGGTCTCCCACGTGGGGGTCGGGGGCCCATGCACTGGGGCCATCTTCTGCCACCATCCCAGTCACATTATCAGGAACCTGGATCAGAAGTAGAACACAGGCCAGCGCTGCGGCATAGCAAGTAAAGCTGCCGCCTGCAATGCTGGCATTTCTTATGGGCACTGGTTCTAGTCCTGGCTGCTCCACTTCTGATCCAGCTCTTTGCTATGGCCTGGGAAAGCAGTGGAGGATGGCCCAGGTCCTTAGATCCCTGCACCCATGTGGGAAACCCAGAAGCTCCTGGCTGCTGCCTTCGGATCAGCACAGCTCTGGCCATTGTGGCTATCTGGGGAGCAAACCAGCGGATGGAGTCTCTCTCTCTCTCTCTCTCTCTCTCTCTGTCTCTCTCTCTCTCTCTCTCTCTGTAACTCTGCCTTTCAAATAAATAAACATTTAAAAAGAAGAAGAAGAAGAATAGCCAAGACTTGGACCAGCAATCCAATTTGGGTGCTAGCATTGCAAGTGGCAATTTAACCCACGGTGCCACAAAGCTGGTCCCTTTCATTCTTAAACTTCTTAACAGTTCTCTCAGAAAGCAAAACAGGAATTGAATTGTCTACATTTGTTTTTTGTAAACTTTTTTCAAGTTGTTAGTTATTTTTATTTCTTTGAAAACAGAGAAAAAAAAAGAAAACAGAGAGACAGAGATATCTACCATCTGCTGATTTACAACCCAGGTTCCCGCAACAGCGGGGGCTTGACCAGGCTGAAGCCAAGAGCCCAAAACTTAGTCAAGGTTTCCACGTGGTTAGCAGGGACCCAACCACTTGAACCATCACTAACTGCCTCAAGGGTGTGTATTTTTAGGAAGCTGGAATTGGAAATGGAGCTAGAACTTGAACCAAGGCACTTATATCCATTTCTCTCTCTCTCTCTCTCTCTCTCTCTCTCTCTCTCTCTCTCTTTAAATTTGGAAGGCATTGACAGAGAAGAGACAGAAAGAGAGCCATCCAACTTCTGGCTCACTCCCTAAATGGCCAACAACAGCCCAGGACTAGGCCAGGCCAAAGCCAGAAGTCAGAAACTCTGTCAGGGTCTCGCATGTGGGTGACAGAGATGCAAGTACTTAGGCCATTATCCACTGCTTCTCTGGGCACATTAGCAGGAATGTTGGGTCATAAATACTCTGGATTCAATCCAGAACTCCAACATGGGATTCAGGCATCCTAAGTAATGGTCTAACCTGCTACACCACAATACCCATCCTAGTCTCTATCCATCTCTCTCTTTAAGATTTATTTTTTATTTATTTGAAAGGCAGAGTGACAGAGGGAGCAGATCTTCCATCTGCTGGTTCACTTCTCAAAAGGCCACAATGGCCAGGGCTGGGCCAGACCAAAGCCAGGAGCTTCTTCTGAATCTCCCACATGGGTGGTAGGGACCCAAACACTCGGGCCATCTTCCACTGCTTTCCCAGGTGCATTAGCAGGGAGCTGAATTAGAAGTAAAGCAGCCAGGACTTGAACTGGTGCCCATATGAAATGCCAGCATTGTAGGCCCTGGCCCCTAGTCTCCATTTCTGTATGAAGGAACTAGGCTGAGAAAGGTTAAGTGACTTGCCCAAGGGTGGTCCTACTGGAACCACGGATGTGAGCCCAACAGCTGCTAAGTGGCAGATCCAGATTTGTACCCAGTAGACCTCAGACCCTGTGCCTCTCGTCCTGTTGCGCCTGCTCTGGTATCACACCCTGAATGTCCCAGAGTTGTGTGCATGAAGCCATCATCACAGCCACAGCCTAACACAGAATAGAAGTTTGGCCACAAGGTTCTCTGTCCATGGTGAGGAAGTCCTACTGCCAAAGGACTTGGTGAGATTCTGGTGGTGGGAAGGTTTCTGGGAATGTAGGAAAAAGGCTTGGGCCCGGGGCCAGGGGCCTGCTTGGCAGCATATTTGGGAACCTGGAATCAGGCACTGGAAAGACCCGGAACCTGGCTCTGGGGGGAGAGGAAGCCATGCCTTGTGATCTGGGAAACGGGGGCTCTCCCCGCTCTGGGCTGTCACCCACCCCCACAGCTTTTGCTTCTCTGTGCAGAACACACCCTCGGCCTTCAGGGGTGACCATGGATGGCTTCTCCATCTCAGGATCCAAGAGCACCCAGAAACACACGCTTTCTCAGAAACGGAAGACGCTGGTTAGTGATGCTCCCTTTGGAACCCCAAGTATCAGTCCCCACACCCTATCTCCCTGTTTGCAACCCTAGTGTACCACTCACCTGAAGCACTCCCACAAGAGTGGTTGGTTCCCTGTCAGGGGTCTGTGGCCCACCTGGCTTTGGGGAGGGTGTTTCTCAGACTGTTCCTCACCTGAACCTCCCCAGACCTCTCCTGGCGGACAGCTTTCCAGCAGCTCAGCATTCTGCGCAGTGGGCCTCATTTCATCATCTTGCCTGCCAGGTGCCAGGCACTGTGCTAGGTGCTGGGATGGTCACAGAACTGCCAAGGTCCTTCTGGGTGGTGAATCTTTTCTCACCACTTTCTGGCCTGCTAGGGGACTCGAATGGCCAGCATACACAGGGAACTCCATGACTGCTTACAACAGGACTAGGCGTGTGAAACAGGAGGGAAGCAGTGTTTCTCCACCGTGTTACTGGCCCTCTAGGTCCCTCATCTATTCCTGTTCTTTAAAGTTTTTACATAAAAATGTCATATTAAGTACTTTTGGGCTTTTGTCGACATGAGCAAAGGATCGATGTGATTTAATCAAAAGACAGCCATTGTCCAAATCTCAAAGAGAGTAAAACACGCTTGAGCAAATGTGCAACTTCAGCTCACGTGAACTGCTGTGGGCTATGATGGTTTTCCTTGGGGTGTTCCTTGTGAAGGTTTTGGGAATAAAGGGGCTACACCTTGTGAGGCTGGGGACCCTGACAACAGGGAAGGCGGCATAGGACTCTGCAGAGACCAAGCGCCATTAAGCGGGACTCTAACCTGCACTCAGCCCATGAACTGCTACCTCCTGTAGCACTGGGGACAGACTCCCTTTTTCCTGTTCGGTAGCGGCAACACCACCTGCAACCACCAGGAGGCGGTGCACCCTCCCGCCCTCCCAACTCGGGGGCCGCCTCGCCATTTTCACCTGCAGGGGGAAGCGGAGAGCGAAGAGTGCCAGGAACACCGCATTCCAGCCACCATGGACAGAGGCCTCCCCAGGGTGTTCCTAAACCCCAAGTTTCCACTCGCCCCTGCAATCAAAGTAGGGTGACCGTGTTTTCTCCCACAGAAAGAGCAGAGAGGACAAAAGGACGGCCTTGAAAGTCTGACAAACGTAACTCACTCGCTAGAGTTAGCTGCTGCTTTGACAATGGCCTGGGTGTCTTCCACAGTTGTATTGTTATAAAAATCACAATTTAATAATCATTCAAAAAAATGTTTTCTAACTATATATTTCTCCCCAGGGTTGATTTTTAACAATTTTACTTCTTCCATCTTCCTGAGGGTCTATTTATGCGTTAGATCCTGATTATTTTTATTTGATAGCACCTTTCTAGCAATCAGAATTACTCTTTCCTAATAACAAAAGCATTTGAAGCAATTAAAATAAATGCCCTGTGTGTGTTGCTCTGACCATACCCCCAAGCATTTAAAGTATGTTATTTTAATATTATTTCTACAAAATGTTATGTTTTTAAGCAATAAGTGCATCAAGGGAAAATGTGATTTTTAAATTTCTAAATGGCTAAGTATTTTAAAAGCTTATATTGCTGGTTCCTATTTTCACTGTGTAATATCAGCAACTGTGTTAAAAATGTGTTGAGGAAGGCTAGCGCTGTGACACAATGGGCTAAGCCTCTGCCAGCAACACCAGCATCCCATTTGGTCACTAGTTCAAGTCCCTGCTGTTCCACTTCTGATCCAGCTCCCTGCTAATGCATCTGGGAAAGCAGTGGAAGATGGCCGAAGTGCTTGGGCCCCTGTACCCATGTGAGAGACCCAGAAGAAGCTCCTGGCTTTGGCCTGGCCCCATGCTGACCATTGTGGTCCTTTGGGGAGTGAACCAGCAGATGGAAGATCCCACTTCTTTCTTTCTCTCTCTCTCTCTCTCTCTCTCTCTCTCTCTCTCTCTCAAAATAAACAAATCTCTTTTAAAAATGATTGAGGGGTAGACATTTGGTCTAAGGGTTAAGACACCCACTCACATCTCATATCAGAGTGCCTGGGATCAACTCCATCTTCCTGCAGAAGCAAACCCTGGGAGGCAGAGGAGATGCCTCTAGTAATTGGGTTCCTGTCACCCATATGGGAGACCTGGATGGTTTCAGGCTCATGGCTCCAGCTCTGCCCCAGACCTAGCTGTTACTGAACTTGAGGAGTGAACCAGCCTGTCAAATAAATAAAAATAAAGCGAAAAGAAAGGAAGGGAGAAAAAGGAAAGACCGGGGGAAAGGGTGGGAAGGAGGGAGGAAGGATGGTTCTGACTCCGGGTTCCTGCTAATGCTTCCTGGGCAGCAGCAGTGAGGTTCAAGTGGCTGAGGTACTGTCACCCACGTGGGAGACCTGGATTGGTTACCAAGCAATCGCAGGCATTTGGGGAGTGAACCAGTGGATGGGAGCTTTCTCTCTCAGTCCTCTCTTTCTGTCTCTTTGTGTCAAATTAAAAAAATTTTTTTTTAGTGTGTGAAGATGTTATCTGTGGCCCATGGTTTTTTTTTTAATTTATTTGAAAGGCAGAATAACAGAAAAAGAGAACAGAGAGCTTCTATCTGCTGATTCACTACCCAAATGGCCACAACAGCCAGGTCTGGGTCAGGGCAAAGCCAGGAACTCCCATCTGGAAATCCCACATGTGTGGCAGAGCCCCAAACATTTCGACAATCACCTACTGCCTTCCCCAGGCCAATTAGCAGGGAGCTGGATCAGAAACAGGGAAGCCAGGACTCAAACCAGCACACTAATATAGGATGCCAGTATTGAAAGTGGCAGCTTAACAACCTGTGCTACAAACTGGCCCTAGTGGCACATGAGTATTTTTGAATATGTTTTTTAAAAGATTTTCATTTCCATTTAATACATTTTATAAATCTGTTAATCTGTAATTATCTGGCTCATTTGTTAGTATCTCAGATTGCTCTTGGCAATAGTGTCTTTTCTTTCTTTAGTGTGGCTTAAACTCTTTGCTACCATCATTTCATCTATCTCTTCCCCCCCACATTTTCATTTATTCAAAAAATACTTATGTCCATCTATGTGCCAGGCACTGAAGACATGGCAGGAAGCAAGGCCGACAGCCTGTCAAGTGATGGGGTTGGTGATGGGGAAGTTCAAGGGGTCCTGGGCTGGTGTCAGGGAGAACCCCCGAGATCTCAAGGATGACATGCAAGGAAAGGCATCCACCCAGTTACTTCAAGATGCTACAGCCTTCTCTGTGATGCAGTGACAAGGCTACATACCTCTCACCAATATTCAAGGAAAGAATAATCCCAAGATTGAAACAAAATTCAGCAAGGAATGGCATTTGATTCAGTGATGCCCGCGTCCTGTAATAAAGCACCTGGTTTCAAGTATCTGCTGTGTGTCTGATCCTACTTCCTGCTAATGCACACCCTGGAAGGCAGCAGATGATGGCTGAGGTACTTGGGTCCCTGCCACCAATGTGAGAGACCCAGAGAGGGTTCCAGGATTCTGGCTTCAGCCTGGCTTAGCCTTCAGCTGTTGCAGGCTTTTGGGGAGTGAACCTGCTGATGGAAGATTTTCCTTTCTCTGTCTCTGCCATTGTTCTGCCTTTAAAATAAAAATAAATAAATAAAACGTACCCCCAAAAATGTGGTAGACGGGGCCATGCAAGGAAGAATCTAAGGAGCCAGTGGCATTTCCATGCTGGGGGGGGTCAGGAGCCTGTTACCATATAGAGCATGGGAGAAAGTCTTGACTTCTTCATCCCTGAAGAACCTGGAGGCTAGGTTCAGGGCCACGGGTGAGGCTTTTCAAGTAATTCCACAATTCAGTTTTCTTTTAAATGTGCAGATTATTTGAAATTCAATTTATTTACTTATTTAAGAGACAGAGACAGGGAGTGAGATCTCCACTTGCCAGTTCACTCCCCAAATGCCTGCAATACCTGGTGCTAGGCCAGGCCCAAGCTGGGAGCTGGGAACTCAACCCAGATTTCCCACGTGGGTAGCAGGGACCCAACTACTTGGGCCATCACCTGCTGCCTCCCGAGTCTGAATTAGCAGGAAGTTGCAGTCAAGAGCAGAGCTGTAACCTAAACCCAGTCATGCCAGTTTCAGACACTGGCATCCCAGCTAGTGTCCTGCTAGGTGAAATGTTGGTTCCCCATTGTGGAGAATTCTGGAAAAAAATACAATTACACAAAAATAATCACCCATGATAGTACAACTGGAGAATGGTTATCACGGACAGCCTTTTGGATCCTCACCTCTATCTTTGCTGGTCTTTCACTTGACTCTGTGTGCTTATTCGCTAATTCCAGACTCCACTTAGCTCTGAAAGGACTGTATTGTTAGTCTATTTTTCTGCTCAGCCTCTCTCTCAACATTGCATGGCTACATAACAATATTCTGGTTTCAGACACTTAGGAGGTTTCTGATTTTTGCACCTTCATAGGTAAGGCCTTGAGGGGCATCCTTGGGGAGCGTCCTGTGCCAGTGCACTCCTCTTGAGATGACTCACCTCCCCCAGGCAGTCCACGCTGACTTGTCATCGTCAGTTTGTCATTATATCCCCCAGCTTCCCTGTGTCCCGAGAACTGGCAGGGCCTGGCGTGAGGAACAGTGAATCACAGACTGGATGTAACCCGAGAAGTAGCTTCACTGGGTCAGAGAGTCATTTTTTTTTTCTTCATGCTATGAGTATTTCATGAAAAGATTTCTTAAAATCCCGTACACATTGCTACTTCCTGCTACACACCCTTAGACCTGCTCAGAGTTCAAAAATGAGATCCCACTGCCAAGGGGTTCTCGCTTACCACTCCCTTCCCTGAAGGGTGCAGCCCAGTCTCCTCCCAGAGTACAGGGCTTCCACACTGCATCTCTGCCGTCTTGTCTTTTGGTCCAGGTTTGGGGCTGGACCCGTCCTCCTGTCTCCTTAGCTAGACTGTGCCACGGGGCAAGCACTGGGCACCTACCATTACTCACATCTGCTCTCACGCACAGATACTCAATACTCCCTGACATTAAGTGAGGGACACCTCATCTTTCCTGAGCTCCTGGCAGGTGCCACAGCCTCTGCTTTCTCATTGTGTCCTCACATCAGTACAGTGCAATGGAGACCAACACTGTTTCCACTGGACAGCTGTTGAGGCTGACAATCTGACAAGTCTGTGACCACACAATAAGAGATTTCACTCAAGCCCTCACTCTAAGATCCACAGTCTTCATTATGAGCCATATTAAAAGATTTTTGTTAAAAACAAACAAACAAAAACCACTAGGGTAGAGGGAAGAAGGACGGAGAGGAACATTAGGAAGGGAAGGAAGCATTGTTGCCATAGTAACCCTGCCTGTCCCCCTCTGCAGCCCTTCCATTTCTCCATGGGCAGCCACCTGTCCCCGTGGCCCACACATGCCAGCGGACAGACGATTCTGCAGAAGCGAAAGCCCTGTTCTTCAGATGACTACCAGAGGCGATCAGGGTGAGCCAGGTCAACCTGTTGGTGAGTGTGGGGCTGGCACAGACTGGCGTTGGAGCAGGAGACAGGGCAGGGGTGTGTGCTGCCCCAGGCGGAGAGTGCACGGGCCCTGTGGGGCACGCCTCACATATCAGCCCATCATCCCCCGCAGGAGCTGGCAGCAGCCCTTGAGCACTGCCAAACCCAGGTACCTGGAGCAGCTAGAGAACTACCTCCGCAAGGAGCTCCTCCTGCTGGACCTGGGCACGGATAACTCCCAGGAGCTGAGGCTGCAGGTCAGAGCCACAGAGGACATGTGGGAAGGGCGGTCGTGGGGAGAAATCCCACCTATCAAGACCAAGCACATCCTCTCATACCTCCTCCAGGTCTCCTTTTTTGAAGAAAAGCATGTCCCATGACAAAGCCAGTGAGCAGGCAAGGCTGCAATGCAGAGCCCAAGCTCTCCTGAGGTTTGAGGTTCCACACTGGACTCAGGTGGAATGATGTCTCCCATTCCATCAGCTCTATGACCTCAGTTAGGTCACTGGACATCCATGTGAATGCAGCCTGAATCTTGGCAGAACAGTGCTGATAATCATAAGCTCAATGAACTAATCCAGATACAGGGAAGAACAGTCTAAATGCAGTCCTTCTTCTGGTCCATACTAGGGAGGGATTTACCAAATATCTGCTCAAATAGAGATGGTGGGGCTGGCATTTTGGCACAGTGGGTTAAGCTGCTGCTTACAACACCAGCATCCCATATCAGAATGCAGGTTCAAGTCCTAGCTACTCTACTTCTGATCCAGCTCCCTGCTAATGTAAGTGGGAAGTCAGCAGAGGATGGCCCAAGTATTTGGGCCTCTGCCACCCATGTGTGAGAACCATGTGAGAGCCATGGAGTTCCTGGCTCTTGGCTTTGGTCTGGCCCAGCCCTGGCTGTTGCAGCCATCTGAGTAGTGAAGCAGCAGATGAAAGATCTCTGTGTCTTTCTGTCACTCTGTCTTTCATATAAATAATAAATCGATCTCAAAAATATAGGGATGGGGGCTAGCATTGTGGTGCAGCGGGCTAAGCTGCCACTTGCAATGGCAGCATCCCATATAAGAACGCCTGCTCTGCTTCTGATCTGGCTCCCAGCAAATACACCTGGGAAAACAGCAGATGACTCATGTACTTGGACACCTGCTACCCATGTGGCAGACCTAGATGGAGTTCTAGGCATCTGGCTTCAGTCTGGCCCAGCACTGGGTGAGACAGCAGTTAGATCTCTCTCCCTCTCCCTCTGTATCACTCTGCCTTTCAAATAGTAAATAAATCTTTCTTAAAGACCGATAGACAGCCGGTGCTGTGGCTCAATAGACTAATCCTCCGCCTGCAGCGCCAGCACCCCAGGTTCTAGTCCCGGTTGGGGCACCAGATTCTGTCCTGGTTGCTCCTCTTCCAGTCCAACTCTCTGCTGTGGCTGGGAGTACAGTGGAGGATGGCCCAAATGCTTGGGCTCGGCACCCACTCCTGGGAGACCAGGAGAAGCACCTGGCTCCTGGCTTCGGATCAGTGCAGTGCGCTGGCCGCAGCAGCCACTGGGGGATGAACCAACGACAAAGGAAGGCCTTTCTGTCTCTCTCTCCCACTGTCCACTCTGCCCGTCAAAAAAATAAATTAAAAAAAAAGATAGATAGATAGATAGATAGATAGGGAATCCCCGCTTTCTGACTTAGTCACTCAGTGAGTCACTTACTGAGCACTGGCCATGTGCCAGTCCCTGGGCACAGTCTCACAAGAAGTTCCTCACCAAAAAGGAAGCAGAGCTTAGAGAAGACACCACCAGAAATGGGAGGCCAGGATTCGAATTCAGGGCTGAGTTCTCTCCAGAAAGCAATGCTGCCGCCAAAACCACACTGTGTATTGAGGTAGGTCAGGAGACAATAGGTTTACTTGTAGACCATAACACAAGGCTAGAACCTTTCATGTCCTCCCACAGGGCTCTGAGATGGGGAGGGGTCTGGGAGGCAAGAGAGTGACTACCTAGAGAGCCAGACACAGGGCAGACTGGGAGGTCTGGCCATGCTGGCCTACTCAGCCTCAGAGACAACACCAGGAGAGGCTTCCAGAGAGCTGCTCTCCGGCTGCTTGGCATGGAGAGCTGGGTGGTGCCCAGGTCATATTTACTGACTATGGGTTACCTGGCAGCTGCATGCTAGAACACTTCTGAGCCCAGTAAAGAAAAACACAGGGCCCCACCGAGGAGCAGCTACGGGCTAGGAGGTAACGGGTTCCCTTTTCTCACCAGCCTTACAGAGAAATCTTTGAGTTCTTCATAGAGGACTTCAAAACGTACAAGCCATTGCTGTCTTCCATCAAGAATGCCTACGAGGTGATGCTGGGTAAGAATGCAGCCACTCCTCTGCGCTCGGCCTAGAGGGGGCAAGGGTCCTGTTATCCCTCACTGGGGGCTCCACAGCAAGGCTGGGACAGACATTAACTGGGCCACCGGGCCCCCCACCCCCACTTCAAGCCTTTTTGCCTCACTGTTCTGTGATAGAGCACCCAGGGCACCTGACCACTTCCTGTTCTCGAGAAACATGGTGTGTGTGGGGGGGCAGCGTTGTGGAATAGAGGGTTAATCGGCTACCTGTAATGCCAGCATCCCATCTGAGTGCCAGTTTGAGTCCTGGCTGCTCCACTTCTGATCTATGCACCTGGGAAAGCAGCACAAGATAGTCCAAGTACTTGGGCCCCTGCCACCCACATAAGAGACCAGGATGGAGTTCCAGGCTCCTGGCTTCAGCCTGGCCCAGCCCAGACCATTGTGGACATTTGGAGACTGAACTAGCGGATGGAGATATCACTCTCTAACCCTTTCAAATAAATAAATCTTGAGAGAGAGGGAGGGAGGGAGAGAGAAAGAGAAAGAGAAGGATGATGGGACAGTATCTGCCTGAAACAGTGAACCCAAAGGAGTGAGTGAGCACCTCTGGGAAGTGGGGAGGCGCCGCTGACCAGGCTCAGGAGGTGCAGAGCACTGTACAGCTGCAGCACTAAAGGCTGTAGAAGGAAGGGCATAGGAGAGACTGTGGTCCTCAGCTGGTCTCTGGCCTTAGAAGCAAGTGCAGTAAGGCAAAAGAGGGCCATGGCTTTGAATGAGGCTTGTGTAGGCCCCGGGAGTTTGCAAGCAACACAGCCTCTCCCTTGTGTGTGACCTTAGGACCTGTGTCTCTTGGCTGTTCTCAATGGCCCCAACAATTCCCCGACCTGTTCCCGCTTTAGCCCATCAAAGGGAGAAGATTCGGGCTCTGGAGCCGCTGAAGGCCAAGCTCGTCACTGTGAATGAGGGCTGCAATGAGAAGATCCTGGCCATGAGGGCTGAGGAGCGGAATGAACTCTCCATGCTGAAGACAGAGAAGATGCACTTGCTAAAACTCATTGACAAAAAGAATGAGGAGAAGATCTCACTGCAGAGCGAGGTCAGTGGGAGTGGTGGGGTGACCCCATGCCTGAAATCCCGCCCCACACCCACCCCAGGGGTGACCTTCAGGCCTTGGGCTTGGAGGTGACACCCAAATAACTCCCTCTTCCCTTCTGCCTGGAATGGCACAGGGAGCTGCTGCCTCCCCACAATGTGCTGCCTGGCTCAGCTCCGGCCAGGTGGGGTCAGTTACCACAGAGGTGGCACTGGCACCTTGCTGGGTTCTCAGGAATGGCTCGTCTCCTTCTTCCTCTACCCTTCCTGTTCCCAGGCTCTGAAGCAGCCACCCCACACCCATCCCATCCTATGTGGTGGCTAATTACAAACAGGGGGCCCCCGACCATACAGCCACCTCCCCACCAGGTGACCAAACTGAGGAAGAACTTGGCCGAAGAGTACCTGCACTACCTCACTGAGCGAGATGCCCGCAAGATTCTCATTGCAGACCTGAATGAGCTGCGCTACCAGCGAGAGGACATGACACTGGCCCAGTCCCCGGGTAAGCCTGAGCCAGGTTACCCTCCCGCTCCAGGGGCTGGGGGAGTCAGGCTCTCACCACTCCTCTAGTCAACATTCTTAACACCTGCTCATTTCACACCCACGTGTTTGAGAGTTGTCCCTGCCACCACCTGGGGCTGTGGATTTCCTGAGCAGCACTGACTGTGGATTATTTAGGTAGGAACACTGCCGATGGCTGAGGCTGCCTAGATTGCCCTGGGCTGGGCAGGCTTGGTATCCTGAATCCTGAGCCCCTTGGCTGGTGTTACTATGGCAAGACCTAAGGAAGGCAGAACAAGGAGGGCAGACAGGCAGAGGGACACTACCCTTGCCCTGGGCCACGAGCCTCAGAACTAGGGTAATGTGGGCTTGTGGGCCTCCTGCAGAGGTCTGGGGGGAGGACCCTGTGATGCTCACACTGGCTCTGAAGATGGCCCGGCAAGACCTGACCCGTGCCCAGATGGAGCTTAACACCATGAAGGCCAACTTCGGAGATGTGGTACCCAGGAGGGACTTTGAAATGCAGGAGAAGACCAACAAGGATCTTCAGGAGCAGGTGCTGGGGCACAGGCTGGGCCAGGCAGGGTAGGATAGGGGCCAAGCAGGTAGGGAGTTCAAATCAGAGACCCTGCCCACAGCTGGATGGCCTGAAAGCTGACTATGAAGAGGTGCGCAAGGAGCATGAGCTCCTGCTACAGCTGCACATGAACACGCTCAAGGAGCGGGACCAGTTTTTATCGGAGCTGCACGAGATCCAGCGCACCTCCACGCCCCGGCCTGACTGGACCAAGTGCGAAGGTGGTGATGGCCACTGGGACCCCGGGGCCCACTGCAGGGGGTGGGCTGGACTTCAGCTCCCTCTCCGCACCTGCAGATGTGGTGGCTGGGGGCCCAGAGCGCTGGCAGATGCTGGCTGAGGGCAAGAACAGCGACCAGCTGGTGGACATCCTCCTGGAGGAGATTGGCGAGGGGCTGCTCCGGGAGAAGGACTTCTTCCCTGGTCTGGTAGGAGAGTCCTGGGCAGAAGGCTTGGACCAGTCGCAACAGCCAGGCAGTGCTGCTAAGGAGACCTGAGCTTCTAAGAGAACCATCTGGCTCTCTTCCTAGCTTGGGAGGGGGCCCAAGATGGACCTAGGGATGAGCTGATATCCTTCCTCCCTTCCAGGGCTTTGGGGAATCCATCCCCGCTTTCCTGCGGTTTGAAGGCCCCGTGCAGAACAAGAAGCCAACCAAGAAGGACGTGGTCAGCCTCCTCAAGGACGTCTGGAAGGAACGTCTAGCAGGGGATAAGGTCAGAGCTCACCAGCCTTGTTGGCTCGGTGTGAACTTCAGATCGGGTCGTCCAGGGGACCCCCTTGAGGTGCTGTGAGCCGGAAGGGGGAGGGCCAACCAACCCTGGAGCAGGCTGACCAAACATTTCCCTCATGCTGCAGAAAGAGAAGTTCCCAGACTTCTTCTTCAGTTTCCTGGAGCGTCGCTTTGGGCCCCGGGATGCCATAGCCTGGGCTTACACCCTTTTTGAAAACATCAAGCTGTTCCGCTCCAACGAGGTCATGAGTCAGTTCTATGCAGTTCTCATGGGAAAGGTGAGCTTGGGCCTGGCCTGCACCTACTTTCCGTGAGAAGGCAGAAAGGAGCTTTTGCCCCCAGCATAGCCCAGCTCTGCCCTCACTACTCCAGGAACAGCAAACGAGTGAATGCTTCCCTCCCTGTAGAGGAAGGAGAGTGTATATATCAACCAGAAGGAGTTACTGGCCTACTTGCTGAAGGAGATGACAAATGCTGACAGTCAGAACGAGGGGCTAATAACCATGGAGCAGTTCAGGTGAGCGGCCAGTCCAGGCCACCTCAAACTCCTGCCCACATCCCTGGGCAGGCTCCTGGGTATGCAGGGAATAAAGGGAGCTCAGTGCTTGCTGCCCTTCTGACCACTGGTGCAGGCAGCAGAGGACGCAGGAGATGGGAGGGCAGGCCTCAGCCACGGCCCGCTGGCCTTCGTGTCTCCCCACAGCACCATCCTCAAGAACACCTTTCCTCTAAAGAAGGGAGAGCATATTCAGGAGCTGATGGAGATAGGAGGCTGGCACCCCAACAGCAGCAATGCAGACTTGCTCAACTACCGCTCATTGTTTATGGAGGTGGGTCAGCGGCTCCAGGAACCTGCCCGGCCCCTAGCCTAGTCTTGGCTGCACCCTGGTCAGTGTGCCCCTCACCTTGCCTTGTGACCCCTCACAGGATGAGGAGGGCCATAGTGAGCCCTTTGTGCAAAAGCTGTGGGAACAGTACATGGATGAGAAGGATGAGTACCTCCAAGAGCTAAAGCAGGAGCTGGGCATGGAACTGTGAGTGACCGTGGGACCCTCAACCTATTCACAAGTCCCCAGGCTGGGCTAGTCCCTCAGGGTGGCATCTCAAGCCCCTGGATCTCCCTATGCACTAACTGTGCTGCCGGGCACTATACACTGCCCCAGCCTGGCAGAAAGGAGGGCACCTTGGCATCTGGAGTCAAGGCCTGCTTCTTTTTTCTTGTGGGCCAGCCGTGATGAAGTGACCGTATACAAGATGCGTGTAGCCCTGATGAACATCGACCCCAGCCTGGATAAGCAGACTCTGAGAGCCTACCTAAGCCAGGCCTTCCAGCTTCTGCCATCAGAACTGCCAGAGGAGGGCAATGAGAAGGAACACAGCATTGCGACAGGGCTCAAGACTGCAATGGAACAGCTGCAGGCGGCTGACATCAAGCGCATGGGACCTCGAGAGCAAGAGCCTGCAAACTAGGGCCCCACGGGCAGTCCGAGTGCTCCAGGGCTGCTAACCTCTGATTTTTAGTATAAAAATTTGTTGGAACCCATGGCTTTCTACAAGCTGTGCTAGGGAGTCAGGGGGGTGGGGAGGGAGACCTAGCCCCTGGATATGCAACAAAACGCAGAATGTTCCATGATACTTTACTTTATTGATGTTAGGAGGCAAGGAGGAGACCTGGAAGAGTATACAGGCCAAGGGACCCCAGATGCAGACAGGGCAAGTGTTGTGGCCTGGCCACTACTGGGCAGGGAAGACGGAATTGCCACTGAATGCACAGGGGATGAGCAGCTGCCGGTATTCCAGGGGCAGATGCCGCTCCACAAGGACGTGCAGTGAGACTTGGTCAGTGACCAGGCCCTGCCTGCAGCAGAGGGAGAGAACGGACAGATGGTGTCAGCGTCAGCACTCCCACACCCGCACCCCCCATTCCTCACACTCACCGCCGCATCAGCAGTTCCAGATCCTCCGGCCTCACAGTCTTGCGGCCAGCATGGGCAGCAAATACCTCCAGGTCATTGCAGAGATGCTGGAAATACTTGTCTAGACTGCCAAGGTGAGGGGAGGGAAGATGGACGGTCTGTTGCTGACCTGAGGGCGCCTCTCCCCACCCCAGGTGTCTAGAACTCACCATTTCTCCACCACCTCAAGAGCTGCCTTCTCCATGGGCATCTTAGCATAGAAGCTAAAGAGTTTTGCATAGTGGTTCAGTCCAGTCTTATGTGGATCCTGACGGGGCCTGGGGCCAGCAGCTCGGGGCCTGGGGGGACGCCTGGCCAACACAGGCTCTGAAGACACACTGGGGGCAGGAGTGGACAGAGATGGCTGAATTGCTGTCTGAAAAGGTCCCAATTCAAAGACAAGTTTTGCTGGCTCCTGTGGAGGCTGGGGACCATGTGCTAATCAACCTGGATTAGCAACCCCAGCCTTGGGGGGAGGGCAGGGGCCACCTAGAGGCCTAGTCTTTCCTTGGGTCCTGTTCCTTCCCAGACTGGACCCAATGTTTTAGTCTAGCCCCTGCTTGCTCAGGAACGTGACCTCCAGGCCACAAAATGGCTTTTTTCTCCCCTTAGTCCACGACTGCCTATCCCCTAATCCACCTCCAGGAAGCCTTCTGTGACTATATACTGATCTTGTACTTCCCCTCCACCCAGGTTCCTCTAAGCCTCCAGGATGACAGACACATTCTCAGGGAACATCCCCCAATGCGTGCCGCTCTGCTAGGTAACCATCTGTGTAACTATAGGAAGGGGACAACCGACGCCAGGGTCAGTGCCTGCCCCCTTCCCATGAAGACCATGAGGTGGCGGCGTCACGGGGTCTTACACTGCAGCACCAGGCCGCGGGGTTGGCTCAAGGAATGGAGGCGGCTGTTCAGCCTGGAGAAAGCTGGGGGTCCTGGAGGCCATTGCTGGACTTGCTGCGGAGGAAAGGCAGAGTCACAGGAGGCTCAGGCTTGACCATCCCACCTCGTCCCACAGGCCTGGTCCTTGTCCTCGCTCAAAAGTCCCACCAGCTCCAGCCACACAGTGACCCTCAGAGTCTTCCTGGCCCTCTAACACCCCTAGTACCTAGAAATACAACCCAAGCAAGCTCCTGTGATGTGTCAGGGCTTGAACACAATGTCACCATGTGGGGCCGGTGCTGTGGTGTAACAGGTTAAGCCGCCACCTGCGGGGCTGACATCCCATATGGGTGCTGGTTCAAGTCCCGGCTGCTCCTCTTTCAGTCCAGCTCTCTGCTATGGCCTGGGAAATCAGCGGAATATGGCCGAAGTGCAGGGGCCCCTGTACCTGCATGGAAGACCCGGAAGAAGGTCCTATCTCCTGATCAGCCGAGTTCTGACCATTGAGGCCACTTGCGGACTGAGCCAACAGATGGAAGACTTTGTCTCTCCCTCTCTCTGCGACTCTACCTCTCAACTAAATACATAAATCTTAAAAAAAAAAAAAAAAAAAAAAAGCCACCACTCACCACGATCCCTGCTCTGGGCCTCTTACCTGCCCTGCCAGAGGGGTCCTCATCTCCTGAAGATACATCCGACTCCTCAGCCTCCACGGCGCCCTGGGATCCCATTGATTCTGTCACCTCTGGAGGAGCAGCAGGCCATGGATGTGGCTCTGAGAGCAGAAAGACAGAGTAGCAAAGACAGACCCGCCCACTGAGGGGAGACGGTCCAGAGCAGTACCAGGACACACAGATCTGCGATCTCCGGGCCCAACACTGACTCTGCTCTTAGAAGCAGGAGGGGCCCACAACCAGGAAGCACACATATGGGCTTGAGGATGGACAACCACTAGCGCCAACTCTCACCCAAGTTAAGCTTAGCTCCAGGCCACTTGTCCCACATACTCACTGTCATTTTGCAGCCCAGGCTGACTGCTCTGTGTCCAGTGGTCCACAGCCTTCTCTGTATCTTCAGTCTCATTGTGAGAGGGATGGGGCAGGGAGTGATGCACACTAGGGGAACGGCCAACCAAGGGCTGGGAGAAGGGCTGGGTGTCCTCCAACACAGTGTCCGTTGGCACAGTAGCCACAGGGGTTCTGAGGCTATTACCTAGAGGTCAAGGGCACTCAATGTATGCAATGCCTACCTGCTACTACCCAGAATTACCAGGCCCTGGGCTGTGGGCTCCCTGGGTCGGTCCCGAGGAAGAGAAGACAACACAGCCTTCAGCCTTACCTCCCTTGCACAGCTCTCGTGCTCTTGGCCTGGCATTCCCAGGCCTCCACAGCTGCTCCCTAGTCCCTGAGCAGCGCATCTGTGCCTCAGCTCTCCACTTCTCACTCTGCCCCTCTAGCCAGGACCCCCGTCTTACTATGGTGAATTTAAGCTAAAATCAAGTTCCTGGGTCTGCTCTGATCGGCTAGCTGATCCTGAAACTCTGCATTTTCAACCTGCCAACAAGCTCCAGCCACACCAACCTCCCTTCCACACTCTGTCCTGTAGCTTCTCAAGGATACGACGTTCTCAGAAACACTTGGAGAGGGCTCTTACAGGCCTGTGTAACCTACCACACTATCAAGGATGGAACACCTTGTGGAAAGAGAGCAGAAACTCTTCATAGACTTACTGGCCACGCTAGCTCCCTGGCTTTGGCCACACTGAGAAGGGAGCAATGCCAGACTCAGCACACCTCCTATCTATCATAGAGGGAGAACTTTCTCCAAAAGCCGCAAGTGGAAAACCTCAATGTTACCTGAAGGAGCCAAAGAAGTATCTCGCAGATCTTGCAAAAGGACACCCACGTCCACAGCTCGGCGGGTGGGGGGTCTACGGGCCAAACCAGGCCTCTTCACAGACTGTGGCTGAACAGGGGTGGCAAAGGTCAGGTTGAGAGAGCTGGTGGGAAGGAGGAGGCACATGGGGAAGTCAGGCACCTGAGCTCTCGTCACTCTGAATGCAGCCACTGTGCCGAGAGGCTAAGACAGTCAGGGAGCAATGTGACAGATTCCACCTCAGCCAGTACCCTGCCTCCCCGAGCTTCTCCACCAAACCCAAACAAGCAGCATCACCTGGTGAGGGAGGAGGCGCCGGCAGTCTCAGGAGGCTCTGTCAACGACCAGCGAGAGGATGTAAAAACAAGAAATCACATAAGTTACCAGGCCCTCTCAGGGAGGAGAAACCGGGTACCAACAGATGGTGCCCAGGGCCTCACCTTGGGAGAGAGGCAGCCCTTGGTCCACTTCTTGCTGAAACACTGACAGCCTCAGCCTCTGCTTCCTCCTGCCACGGGCCAACAGGCCTGGCGCCAGGCTCGTGGTGGGCTCAAGTTCAGGAAGTTGCAGCTCCAGGCTACAAAGATGGAGTTCATCTCAGAGAAGCCTAATTCTGGCTCTGGGGGCTCTCAAGAAGCTCCCCATTAGATCCGCCCAACAGCCCAGTCCAACGGGGAGACTACTCTTCACCTGCCCCGACTGCTTTCCCGTCTAGGGGGCTGGACCACCGGCGGCGCTGGTGCGGGCTTCACCACTGACTTTGGCACAAGGACAGAAGATTCTGGGGCTGTAAACAACACCGAGAGGCTGGGGCTGACAGGACAGGCTTCCTGAAGGAAGGCTACCACAGGACCAGTGTTGGACTGGCCGCCGACTCTGCCCACCGGCCAGCACCCACTGACCTGTAAGTAGGATGTTCTTCAGCAGAGTCCGGGGTGTCTGTTCGTCCAGGTGTCTACTGGCCTGGGTGTGGGCCAGTCGGCTGACAGACTATGAACAAAAGCACCAAACAACCAGTCTGTTTGCTTAGAAATTCCCTCAAGGTACGCACCAGAGTACAGCTAGACTTGAGCGACCCCTGAAGGCAACCAGGACCCTAGAATGGCCAGTGGGCTGGGCACTTACCCTGGTCCCATGGGAGTGTCGTCTGGCAGTCGACTTTCTTTGGCTGCTCCGCCTCCTGGGTGAAGGCGTTTCAAGCAGGGTTCTCTGGGTCCTGTATAAAGATCAGTGGATGTGGGAATTACAGAGGGGCTGGGGGTAGGGGGCAGAGGATGAAGGCCCGACTTGCCTTCACCAGGGGTCTTGGCCTGAAGCCCTTTAGTGCCTCCCGTAGTCCCTGTTCCCGGCCCTGGGTCAACAGGAGTGTAGGTGAAGGAGAACCCCAGGCTATGGAAGAGACAAGGAACATGACTGACTCAGCCAGAAAGAGCGGCTGAGGTGTCACAGAGGTGACCACAGCAGAATCCTAAGAGGACAGCAGTGGCTGACTGCTGACAAGAGGAGCAACGGAAGGGTATCCATCCCAGACTTTAAAATAGCAACCTTTGTACTCCAAAAATACGTGCAATTACCGTGTGTCCACTAAAAAAAAAACTATTTAAATAATATTATATTAATGTACCCACACACACACACACACAAAAAACCTTTCTTTAAAATCCAAGGATATCTGCGTATTCTTAAGGGTTCTAAGTATTTGTCAGGATATGACAGCAACTTTCACATGAGCCACCCCAGCCCTCGTCTCTCCACTGCAATCAGGTCCCAGAGCCAGGTTAACGTCGCCAGGGCTCCCAACTCATCAGCACTACCACGAGTGGCTTCCCGTCCCCTATAAAGGAACTGCACTGGCTCAGGCCGACAGATACCAACTTCTGCACACTCTGCACCCATGAGCTCACCACGTCCCTCACAAACTGACACTCCCGCCAAGTCAGGCCAAGTTCCCTGCTCCCCAGCAAAGCGACTTTCCAGTTCCTGCCTCCCGACTGGGCTCTCCGGCTCCTCGCCCATCTTCCAGCTGGGAGCCACAGAGACAACAGCGAAAGGTGGAGAAGTTCAAGGCAGAGCCTGGACACACACCCCCTGGGCTGCTGTGAAAGTAACCCAGAGAACAGAACAGAAACTCAGACTCTGAGCGCCTGTCCGTCCCTCGGGTCGGGCTCTGTGGTCCCGAGGCCGGGCTGCCCCGAACCCCAAGAAGTGGGGGCATAAACATCTGCGCCCGCACCCAGCTGGGGCGGTGACGTCAGTTCTCAGGGATCTGGACTCAGTGTCTCTCTCCGAACGGGGGTGGCACCAGATTCCACCCCGATCTCACTCCCGCGCCCCGACGCTCAAGCACTCGAGCAGCACCCTCCAGTACCCAGCTCGAATACTCCGGGGTCGCCGCGGGGAGCGCGAGTCCGCTGTATCCAACACGCGCCGTAGCAGCGTGCGCGTCGTAGGCTCGCTGTTGGGACTGTAGCCGTCAGCCATGGCTTCAGCCGCCCAGCGTCTCAACCGCCCCCACAGCCGCAGCCGCAGCGTTCCCGCCACCCTATTTAAGGGAAGTCTCGCGATACTGCTGCACAGGCCCACGGGAATTGTAGTTCTCGCCCTACCGCGGCACGCTGCGTGTTGCGTGGTGATCTGGAACCCTGGCCTCATGAGGATCCCTACGTGGAGTGAGCCTGGGCAAGTGGATGCAACCGATCCAAGTCTTGGTTTTCTCGTCTGTACATTGAAGATGATACACACCTAATAAGGAACGTGTAATGATTTCATGAATCAATGCTTCATGCTGGTCTGATACTGGGAAAGAGAGAATCAATAAACAGCCGTCACTATTAGAATACCACTCTGCCGGCTCAATAGGCTAATCCTCCGCCTGCGGCGCCGGCACACCAGGTTCTAGTCCCAGTTGGGGCGCCGGATTCTGTCCCGCTTGCCCCTCTTCCAGGCCAGTTCTCTGCTGTGGCCAGGGAGTGCAGTGGAGGATGGCCCAAGTGCTTGGGACCTGTACCCCAAGGGAGACCAGGATAAGTACCTGGCTCCTGCCATCAGATCAGCACGGTGCAACAGCCGCCGCTGCCATTGGAGGGTGAACCAACGGCAAAGGAAGACCTTTCTCTCTGTCTCTCTCTCTCTCTCTCACTGTCCACTCTGCCTGTCAAAAAACAAACAAACAAAAAAACACCACTCAGTCCCATCTCCCTCTCCCAGAAAGGGGAGACACTTGAGCCTGGGAAAAGAACTTTGTGCTATGGGTGACCTGGTCAGCTTTGCATAAGTAAGAGCTCTGTAGGGTCTAGGGTCTGAATCTATCAGAAGAGACTAGGTTTATAGGCTCCAGGTTTAGTTACTGAGTCATTTGTGATCCGGAACAAATGTTGGTATCTCTAAACAAGGCCGCTGTGGAATGAATCCCAGTTATAAAAGTTCTGTTAATGCTGGAAGTGCTTACCATATTTTCCACCAGTTGATAGTCCTGCTCCCAGATTGAGTGTTAGGTACCTGATACCCCACACAGGCATGAACATGTATGTGCTTGTTAGAAAATGGAGAAGCAAAGAGGGCCGGTGTGGTGGCAGAGGCCGGAGTCTGGCTGCTTCACTTCCCATCCAGCTCCCTGGAATGTGCCTGAGCAAGCAGTGGAAGATGACCCAAGTACTTGGGCCCCTGCCACCCCTGTGAGTGGTCATGATTGAGTTTCTGGGTCCTCGCTTCAGCTTGGCCCAGACCTGGTGTTGCAGCCATTTACAGAGTGAACTGGTGGATGGTTCATTGTCTGTCTTTATTATAAATAAATAAATAATTTTTAAAAAATGGAGCAAAGAAAAATAGATTTTTGCTTCTCAAAGAGAGTTGCAGAAGAAAAGCATAACCAATATTTCTTATCATTTAGATCTGATTTCCCTGTTATCTGAGTTTGCCAGTCCTTTACAGACACATTTTGATGATAACTATCAACTACCTAAATGCAATATTTGTTTATTAGTAAAGCTTGAACTGGATAATAGAAAGAAAACACCAACATCTTTCAAAAAAGTTCGAAACAGGAGCTTAAGTCTGTGCACTTATTCTGTGTGCTCATATAGTTGATTAAGCTTCATAGTAATTAATGGTTTAAAGCAGGTTAAGCCGCCGTCTGCAGTGCCAGCATCCCATATGGGCACCTGATCAATTCCTGGCTGCTCCACTTCTGATCCAGCTCCCTAGTAATGCACCTGGAAGAACAGTGAAAGATGGTCCAAGTGTTTGGGTCCCTGCACCCACATGGGAGACCCAAAGGAAAGCTCCTGGCTCCTGGCTTTGGCCTGGCCCAGCCCTAGCCGTTGTGGCCACTTGGGGAGTAAACCAGTGGATGGAGGATCTCTTTCTCTCTTCTCTCTCTGTATCTCTGCCTTTCAAATAAATACATTTTTTAAAGCTAATAATAAAGTTAACAAGTTTTTTTCTTTTGTAAGTTTTTGTTTATTTAAAGATTTATTTATTTATTTGAAAGGCAGAGTTACAGAGAGAGGGGGAGAGACAGAGATGTTCCATCTGCTGGTTCACTCCCCAAATGGTTGCAAAGGCCTAAAGCCAGGAGCCTGGAACTCCATCCGGGTCTCCCACGTAGGGGCAGGTGCCCAAACACTAGGGCCAAATGCTGCATTCCAAGGTGCATTAGCAGGGGGCTGTAGCAGACGTGGAGCAGCCGGGCCTTGGACCTTCACAGGGGATTCCCAACAGCAGCCCAACCTGCTTCGCCACAATGCCGGCCTCTTTTGCAAGCTTTCAAATACCCTGCCTGTTTTGTTTTTATATAAAATAATTATAAATAACACATACTAGGGTTCCATTTCATATCTGTGAGGGAAAAAAATGAGCGTATGTCAAGAGAAAGGGTGAAGAGGCCCAAGAAAAAGTGAGCAGAAGTGGGAATTCAGCAAAAGCAGGCTGGTTTGTAGCCCATTCCTGGGGAGAATTGCCTGGCTCCTCCCACATTTTCCAAAGGCCTTGGTCGCCATTTTCCCCCCCAAAGCAGTGGAGCTGGGCAGGCTGTTTTGTTGTAATGCAAATTAGTTTGCCTATTCCACAAGCCATTTTGGATTAGCTGGTTCCAGCCGGGCTACTCTGCTTCTGAGCCAGTTTCCTGCTAAGCCCGCCTAGGGCAGCAGATGATGGCTCTAGTACCTGAATCCTGGCCACCCACGTGGGAGACCCGGATGGAGTTAGAGCTCTTGGCTTCGGCCTTTTGGGGGCATTTGGGGATGGAAGATCCTTGTCACTCTGCTTTCAAATAAATTAATACTTTTTTTTTTTTTTTAAAGGAAGGAACCTTATAATAACCCCAAGTTGCCTGCGGAATAAAAATCTCAAACCTTTTAATACGGCTCAGTCGAATCTTTCCCGCCTTCTGCGGTCCTCCTCCCAGGCTCAATAGGGCGGGGCAACTACCCCTCCCCACCCAAGCTTTTCCACGTTTTTTCTTCTTGGACCCTGGCCCCCATTTTCTCCTCTGTCCTGTTGATTCCTTTCTACGCATTTACATCTGTCCTCCAAAAAGGCATTCCTCCAGGTGGTCTGGTTCCACACTCCACTGCTTTGCAGATAGGCAGGTGCCCATTTAAGTCACTAAGGGAATCAACGCACGCAGCGGCTGAATCGGGATTGTCCTCAGAGCAGTGAAAGGTGCTCCTGACGCCCTTCGGACGCCGGGGCCCATGTTTCTTCTCACTCCCCCTGCAGGAATGTCATCGATTCTAAGGCACGGGGTTTGGGATCTCTTGGGGTAGGGAACAACCTCGCCCCAATTCTGGTCCACAGTAACCCGACCTCTCCCTTAGGCGGCGCGCAAGGCCGCGCCCACCGAGCTCAGCGCCAGGCATCACGGGACTTGTAGTCTCCGTGAGGGCACACTTACGGCGCTTGCGCACTTGTGAGGGGGCACGTTCCTCACCCCCATCAGGATTCCGGGTCCTTGTGAGGGACAGTCCCTGCAACAGCGTTCCAACCGGACACAGCGCTCTCGTCCTCCAGGAACAAGCCAGGTCGGGGAATACTCCGCTCTGCAAAGGTTGTTGGAGGGCTTTGAAAAGCGGTAGGAATAAGCACGCCCCCTCTCCGGAAGTGAGCGACGCCTGGCGCGGTGCATTGTGGGGGGCGTAGTCCTCCTTCCCAGGCGGTCCTTCGCGGCGTCCCCGGGGCCGACTCCCGAGCGCAGGCGGGCGGCCGGGCAGGCGTCGCAGCGCGGGCCGGCGGGAAGCGTACTCTGGGCACGGGGCGCCGGGCAGGCCCGGCTGCGCCAGGCGGCAGTAGTGGGAGGCTGCCTAAAGCCTCGCGCGGCGCCGCCCGTCGAAGGGCGGGCGGCGGCGGACCGACCCGGCCGTCGAAGGGCGCAGGAGGCCGGAGGGGCCGTGCTGGGCGGCGCGGCGCAGCGCAGCCATGCCTGGCTTTACGTGCTGCGTACCGGGCTGCTACAATAACTCGCACCGGGACAAGGCGCTGCACTTCTACACGTTTCCTAAGGACGCTGAGCTACGGCGCCTGTGGCTGAAGAACGTGTCCCGTGCCGGCGTCAGTGGGTGCTTCTCCACCTTCCAGCCCACCACGGGCCACCGTCTCTGCAGCGTTCACTTCCAGGGCGGCCGCAAGACCTACACGGTGCGTGTCCCCACCATCTTCCCGCTGCGCGGCGTCAATGAGCGCAAAGTAGCGCGCAGACCCGCGGGAGCTGCGGCGGCTCGCCGCAGGCAGCAGCAGCAGCAGCAGCAGCAGCAACAACAACAGCAGCAGCAACAGCAACAGCAGCAGCAACAGCAGCAGCAGCAACAGCAGCAGCAGCAACAGCAGCAGCAAGCGTCGCCGTCCGCCTCCACTGCCCAGACCTCCCAGCTGCAGCCCAACCTGGTGTCTGCCTCCGCGGCCGTGCTCCTCACCCTTCAGGCCGCCGTAGACAGCAACCAGGCTCCGGGATCCGTACCGCCGGCTCCCACCACCCCCTCCGGAGAAGACGTGAAGCCCATCGACCTTACTGTGCAGGTGGAGTTCGCAGCCGCAGAGGGTGCGGCCGCAGCAGCTGCTGCGTCGGAGCTAGAGGCCGCCACAGCGGGGCTGGAGGCCGCCGAGTGCCCCATGGGCCCCCAGTTGGTGGTGGTCGGGGAAGAGGGCTTCCCTGACACTGGCTCCGACCACTCTTACTCGCTGTCGTCAGGCACCACGGAGGAGGAGCTGCTGCGCAAGCTGAACGAGCAGCGGGATATCCTGGCGCTGATGGAAGTGAAGATGAAAGAGATGAAGGGCAGCATCCGTCACCTGCGTCTCACCGAGGCCAAGTTGCGCGAAGAGCTGCGCGAGAAGGATCGTCTCCTGGCCATGGCTGTGATCCGCAAGAAGCACGGGATGTGAACGGGTCGCCCTGCGGCCTGCGGCAGTCCTCAGGCCGCTGTGGGACTCCCCTGGACTCCTGGGGCACTAGTTGACAGTACTGAGGATTAGGGCAGCTGGACTCATGCTGGTGATCTGGCGATCTCACTTGTTTCCTCCGTACACAGCGGTCTGGGGCCTCCGACTCTGCACTGGTGACACCAGCATTTGTGACTTGGTTTACCCTCTTTCCCCAGTTTATGTTGCAGATTCTGGTCAAGCAGAGGCTTCAGAACCAGTGAACTTGAAACTTAACCCCTGAGGGTTGCAGGTGGGATGCCCAGGGACTGTGGGTTTGGGAAAACCACTCCTTAAGGTTGGCCGGCAGTCGGAAGCGATTCTTCTGTGTGTAGTGGTGATAGTTCCAAGTAACATCAGTTCTCGTTTTCATGCTTTTGCTTCCCAGGTGCAGCTCTGTGATTCTGATGGGGACTGGTAGATCTGTGCCTCTTCCTCCTGGGACCTCCCTCCCCAGGGGAACTGGGTGACCTGCTGATGGAGATCCAGCTTGCCAGGGACTTAGGTTTATCCTGTTCTGTTTGCTACTGGTTACAAATTCTATTTTCTGTACAATTAGTCAGACTAAAGTTTTCACTGTGTTTGTTTGGCAGGACAAATTAAACAAAAAGTAAGGTTTGTATTTGGGTTTCGCCATTTTATTTTTTACAAAAACTCAGCTAAGTGTCCTTGAAACGGTGAAATAGGCTTCGGTCTTATTTGAAAGGTTGATGTTGAGTGGAGATGACTGAATGATCAGGTTTCTCTGAAAAGGAGCCCTAAGTACACAGACCCTGGCTTCAGGGGTCCTCACAGAGCTCCAGGCCCAGCTCACCCTAAAGAGTTTGGAAACTACCAGATGGCTGCAGTTTGTCCATGGGTTGTCTCCCTGTGTCCTTTTAACAAGAAGCAGCAACTGAGAACTAAGCTGAATTCATACCTACCGCTGAGGGTTTTGACTTCTTCCTGGAGTTGACTTTTGCTCACCATTTCCTCCCTCAGGTCTAGCACAGTGGCTGGTACACATGTGCATGCATTACTTGATTAATTGGTAAAGACCACAGCTAGATCCAGCCATGGCTCATTTAGGCACAGATTTGCACAGAGCTCTTGTCCTTCAGTGTAATTGGGCTGGACTCATCGAGGGTATTAAAGTGTTGGGATTTGTGGTTGGCTACTTCTGTTTTTCTTCAGATTGGATATCAGAGTGGTGGGGGGTGACATTTTTATCTATAGCTTTCAGTAATTTAGCTCAAAGCCAATAAAGAGAGGTGAATGCCTTTAAAGTGAGTCCTGTTTAGGTGTTGGGACACAAAATCGACTTTCTTGGGCTCCATAAAATGATTCCCTTCTCTGTGTTAGACACAATACCTAGGGACCTGCCTTGTGGCTGCAAGGTGGAGTGGCACAAAAACTAGTCTCTGCTTCCCTTCATGTCACTGGGCACAAATAATTTGGTGGGGAAGTGAGGGTGGTGTAGCATAGGGGCCTGGTGAGGAGTGGGTTCAGTCTCTTCCTAGAGTTAATTCTGGCTCTGGTGGGGGTAGGTTTGGTCTTTGCTTTCTTAAGGTTAGTTTTGGCTAGTAATAGGTGGTGGAACAGAGCAGTGCATTTCCAGGCCAGCTGGGACAGAAGCCCTTTGCATGCCTCTGTTAGGCCAGTGTCACATGTCCCTACTCCCCTTTGACAGTAGGGCTTCCCCAGACTCCAGCTATACTCTTCAGTGTATCCTTAAGCTCCTGTTTGTTTAGAAATATTTATTTGAAAGAAAGAGAGGGAGATATCTTCCATCCACTGGTTCATTCCCCAAATGGCCCCAACAGCTGGGGCTGGGCCAGGTCAAAACCACAGCCCAGAATGCTATCCAGGTCTCCCATATGGGTGCAGGGGCCCAAGTACTTGGACTGTCATCTGCCACTCTGCCAGCAGAGAGCTGGATCGCAAGCAGAGCAGCTGGGACCGGAGCTTGCACACAGATACGGGATGCAGGTTGTATCACAAGCTTTGCCTGACTGTGCCACAGTGCTGGTTAGGAGCTCCTGTTTTTTTGATGAGATTCCTGCTGTTTCTGCTTTGGCTCTCCTGAACCTCTTAGCAGCACTACTTGGACCCTCTATGGTGTCTGCAGTTAGGTACATACAACACGTCCAGTGTTTTGGCTTTTTGGAGGACGGATCACCAAGCAAGGGAGTTCCCAGATGGCAGATGCACTACAAACAGGAGCAGAGTTCTCACCAACTTAGTAATAAAAACAGCGCCTAGTCAGGCAAAGTGTAGTTTGAATGAACTTAGGCTTTAAGGGAGAGGGTGGGGGTGAGTAGAATAGGCGTGCTGAGAGATCCTGGGAAGGCGGAACGGCTTGCAGCTGCCTACCTAGAGAATCCTTATAGCTGTTTCTCCTACCTGAGGTCCCCTGGCTTGCCCAACACAGGCTTTCAAATGTTTGTGTTACCAAGGAAATGATGAAATGCGTGTTCAAAGGAAAGGGGGGAGGGCTGTTTACAATCTGGTCTCTAAAGTGATGGGGAAACTGGGTGAGCCGTATCCTTCCACATTGATAAAAATGAAAGTTCTGTCTGCTGCAACAACGACAAAAAATGTTTTGGAGACCCCTGTCTACAGAGTGGTCTTCAAAAAGTTCGTGGAAATGCGTATTATAAAAAACAGGCATGGATTTCAAATTCTTGCTCCAAAATACTTTTAATTCCATTCTCCACGAACTTTTTGAAATATTCTTCTCCAAGTCTGAGAGTAATCATTTCTCCAACCAAGCCCTACCTGAGCAGCGTTTGCGTCTGCTGGAAAACCAGCTTTGGGGTCGATTAGCCCCGGAACGGAGCACGAATGTTGGGACAACAGAAGCTGTTGGTTCCAACGGGGTGGGCTAAAGCCGCACAGCTTCCAAGAGGCGGCCAGAACCTTGAAAGGGGGGTTTCGGGAGCGGAAACAGTCCAGGGGCCTAGGAAAGGGCGGCTGGGCCAGCTGGGGGCTGGCCGGGCTCCCATAGAGGCGGGGCCAACTCCCCATCCACCGTGCAGCTGGGGCGGGGCCAGGCCAGCTGGGACCGGGCGACAACAGAGCCCTGACCCTTGCCTGGCGCCAACCTCCAGTGTTCCAGAGGCTTCCGCTAGACCACAATTCTCAGGGGCTCGCCCCGGCATCCTCCCTCCCTGGCTTAGCCTCACCTCCCGCGCCGCGGGCCGTGTCTGGGTCTCCGCGCGTTGCACAGCGGGAATTGTAGTTTTCTTTAGATGCACTTATGCCGGAAACGAAAGGGGGTGGTACTACGTTTCCCAGAGTGCAGCGCGGCGGGCAAGGGAAGGCAGGGGGGAAGGGACAGTCGGTCGCAGACCGCGCTGGGTTGCCGCCGCCGCCGCCGCCATCGTGCCAGCCCCTCGGGTGAGTGTCGGGGCTAGAGCGCCGGGGCGGGGGCTGGGCCGCAGAAGCCGCGCTCTGGGCCGTCCGGGGCCTCCGCTGCGAGTCCCTGGGAGGCCCCTCCCCTCCCCTCCTCCTGGCGGCCCGAAGCCGCGCGGGGCCCGGGCCATGTGTCGCGCGCGGCTCCGCCTCCCGCCGGTCTTCTGAGGCGGCGGCCGCGGGGGAACGTAGAGGGAGTCAGACAGGCGCTTATCCGGGCCGTGCGGTCTCCGTGGCTGGTACACCCGGACTGCGCTGTGGCAAGGGCCCTTTTCTCTGGTCCGGACCTTCCGGATGGGGCTCTCAGGGCCCCGCCCCGTCTAGCCTGGCCCGGCCTGCTGGAGTCCGCAAGCTCTGCAGGCAGGCTAGCTGGCAGACCCCAGTCCCAAGTCCCTCCACCGCCTGCCAAGGATCGGGGATGAGCGGACCACCTGGCCCCCTCCGGGGTCAGCATGAGTAAGGGTGCCTACCTGCCGCGGCTGGACCCTGGGTCCCTTACCCGGTTCCCGTTCCTAGGTGAACACTTCTCTGCTTGACTGCCTGCTGGGAGTTCACGAAACCTGCTTCCTTTGTAGAACCCACGCATAGGTTCTCCTACGTGGAGGTCAGGGTAGGAAACGCGAGGCGGGAGGGGGTTCTGCACGGCCAGGGGTTTCCACCCTTGGGCGGCCTTGGAAGATCTGGACCTGATGAGGCCGCTCTGGGCTGGTAGGCCAACCCCGCCCTTCTCTATCAGTATCTAGGCCCCACGAGGTTGGTTGCCCGTTAATGGAGGAGGAGGTGAGGTTGGATGTTTGAGTTTCCAAGGCCTTGTTAGAACTCTCAGGCGCAGCACAATTCTCGCATGTTCCCCTCCTGGAGTCAACATAGACTTGCCCTGCCAGAGACGATGACTCCATAGAAATGGGATGATGAGGTGGGATTTAATGCAGAGGGGAAAAGAATCCAGGCCTGAGGTTCATGAGCCTAGTGCCAGACGAGAGGCTGAGCTGGAAGTGAATCTCGGGGTGGGGCCCAATTGAGCTGCAGGGCTCAGAGTCAGACTCCGGGGCCCTTCTGAAACCTGGGTGAAGGCACTTCTGATTGAATGGTGATAAGTTAAGAGACTTATCCAGAGAATAAAGACTTTGGGACTTGGGGAGCAGTCCCTGTCAAACTGACCCACCGCAGCTTCTGAGCCTCATTCCTGGAAGGGATTATAGCAGCTTGATCTTTGCAGACCTGACCTTAGCAACTAGCAGAGTACCAGGTGTCTTAGGAGGGCTGATTTGGGCATGTGGTGCTGAAAACAACTGCCACTGCCTTCTACCCCCACCCTTTGTGAGCATCTCCCCAGGTGAGAATGTTTCTGGTCAGTGTGCTTTGGGCTTGGAAGTTTTCCTGCAGTGGGACTGGTTCTGCCTAGTCATTCTCTCTGGTCAAGGAGGACAGGCAGGGATGCTGCTCAGAGCTCACCAGGGGTTGCCTTCTCTTTCAACTCCTACAGTCCATGTCCTGGCCTGTGAGCACAGAAATTCAGTCTCAGGCAAGGCCCTGTTTCCAGTAGGAGGGACTGACTACCCACAGCTCACATACAGAGTCCATGGGGTCAGGTCTCTACGCTTGATCTTGGCTAAAAGGCTGAGCAGTGATAAGGTTCAGATCTGACAGAACTAGAAGCAATGACTTCTAGACCCTCCCTAGATTGTCCGGACTGATGCTTTCTAGGACGCAGGTTTCAGATGAGCTAGGCTTATGGCTGTGGATTAGTTTGCATTATTCTAAGACCCTGGGTAGCTTGCCCTTCAGAGTCAAAAACATATTGTTCCTTCTCCGAGGATACCAGGAGTGGGAGGAATTCAAATCTCGCCTTCTTACTCCAATCTCTACACGTTCCCTGTAACTTCTTTGTTTTGGGATTTGCTAAATACTCCAAGAAGTCCCTGATCTTTCTGGAACTTGGCAGGCCACTGAGGTCTCAGATAAGAGAAGCCCGAGGTTCTCCAGAATCTGCGTGTGCCCTCTGTTCATGGAAGTGGAGCCTGATGTGAGGCAGTCAGAATATGGACGCAGAAGTGTAAGGCAGGTGTCAGGCTGCCTGGCTTATCAACCAACTCAAAATACGGTCCCTTAACGACTAGGAGCTCACTTCCCCAAGCCGTGTATGTTATTCAGCTGTCCTTCCAGTTGGTAAATTGGGCTGGGCTGGGTGATTTAAAGGAGGCAGAATTCTCAAATGCTAGAACCAGAAGAATTCTAGGATTTCCTGACTAAAGCATTAGAATCTTACTTGAGGTTGCTTTGAGGGAAAGGAGATCTCAGTATTGGGGGTTATAAGAGTAATGTTGGTATTACGTGCTGAGGGCTAAAATAAAGGGAGCTGGGCTCAGCATTGTGGCATAGCAGATAAAGCTGCTGCCTGCAATGTCAGCATCCCATGTGGGCACTGGTTCAAGTCCTGGCCTTGCCCCACTTCCTTTTTTTTTTTTTTTTTAAGATTTATTTTATTTTATTTGAAAGGCAGAGTTACAGAGAGGCAGAGAGGCAGAGGCAGGGAGAGAGAGAGAGGTCTTCCATCTGCTGGTTCACTCTCCTGATGGCTGCAACGGCCAGAGCTGCACCAATTCAAAGCCAGGAGCTTCTTCCGGGTCTCCCACGCAGATGCAGGGGCCCAAGGGGTTGGGCCATCTTCTGCTGCTTTCCTAGGCCATAGCAGGGAGCTGGATTGGAATTGGAGCAGCCGGGGCTTTAACCAGCGCCCTTATGGGATGCTGGCAATGCAGGTGGCGGCTTTACCCCCTATGCCATCATGCTGGCCCCTGCCCCACTTCTGATCCAGCTCCCTGCTGATGTCCTGGGAAGGCAACAGAAAATGGCCCAAGTGATTGGGTTTCTGCCACCTACCTGGAGACCCAGAAGAAGCTCCTGGCTTTGGCCTGGCCTTTTCCCGGCCATTGTGGCCATTTGGGGAGTGAATCAGTTGGTGGAAGCTCTCTCTCTCTCTCTCTCTCTCTTTTTTTTTTTTTTTGACAGGCAGAGTGGACAGTGAGAAAGAGAGACAGAGAGAAAGGTCTTCCTTTGCCGTTGGTCACCCTCTGATGGCCGCCACGGCCGGCACACTGCAGCCGGCGCACCGCGCGGACCCGAAGGCAGGAGCCAGGTGCTTCTCCTGGTCTCCCATGGGGTGCAGGGCCCATGCACTTGGGCCATCCTCCACTGCACTCCCTGGCCACAGCAGAGAGCTGGCCTGGAAGAGGGACAACCGGGACAGAATCCGGCGCCCCGACCGGGACTAGAACCCAGTGTGCTTGCGCCGCTAGGCGGAGGATTAGCCTATTGAGCCGCAGTGCCAGCTCTAGAGGGTCTCTCTTTTGTCTCTATTCTCTTTGTGTAACTCTGACTTTCAAATAAATAAGTACGTGTTTAAAAATATTTTAAAAATAAAATGAAGGAACCTACAGGGACTATTAGTCCTCTGTCGAAGAAGAGGTTTCTGCATGATTAGTGCACCAAAGAGGAGAGACTGTTAGTGGGCCACCTTCTCCAGTGCCTGGCAGCAACCACAGAGGGAAACGTAACTGCGGATTATGGACTCAGCAGTTTAGTGTTCCTTGAGTGAGGCTGTCACCACTCCAGATCGCTATGGCTATTGAGTCTAGTTGCAACTTCTACAACTTGCTGCTCCTGTTTTCTGCAGAGCTCTCTGCTTGGTATTCTCACAGTGCCTGGGAATCGCACCAGCATTTTATTGTATGTGATTTCTCAGTTCTCTGCCTGGAACCTGGGTTTGTGACTTCTGCCCCTTTCATTGAGATGCTCTCATGGTTACTATAGTATCTAGTCTTCTCTTTCTATAAGCTTTATTTATTTATTTGAAAGGCAGAGCTACAGAAAGATCCTCCATCCACTGGTTCCTGCATCCTGCATCTACTGACTGCAATGCCTGGAGCTGGGCCTGTCCAAAGCCAGGAGCCAGGAGCTTCTTCAATTCTCCACCTGGGTGCAGGGGCCCAAGGGCTTGGGCCGTCCTCCACTGCTTTCCCAGGCACATGGGCAGAGAGCTGGATTGGAAGTGGAGCAGCTGGGACTTGAATGACTGCCCACAGGGGACGCTGGCACTGCAGCCAGCGGCTTTCCCTGCTGCACCACAGCGCCAGCCCCTCATGGTTATCTTGATTCAAGTGCCAAATAGTTTTTCCTGAAGTAGTACCCATCAGGAAGTCCTTCTTGGGTGAAAGAGGAGCCCTCCAGAAAGATGGGAGGTTCAGCAGACCCTGTGGTCCAAGAGGCTTCTTGGTATTTCTTGCTTATGAGGTTAGGAAGTGGGGCAGGAGCCAACAGGAACTTCAGGAATGCCAACACTGCATCCTCAGCCCACCCTCACTGGGACCTCCAGGAAAGGAAGGTACCTTTCTGGGCAAGAGGAGTGGATCGAAAGTTTTCCCAAGATGAACAAAGTTGGACAGGGGGCAGGTGTTAGGCATAATGGTTAAGGTGCTACTTGGAAGCCAGCGCCATGGCTCACTAGGCTAATCCTCCACCTGTGGCACTGGCACCCTAGGTTCTAGTCCTGGTAGGGGCACCGGATTCTGTCCCGGTTGCTCCTCTTCCAGTCCAGCTCTCTGCTGTGGCCCGGGAGGGCAGTGGAGGATGGCCCAAGTGCTTGGGCCCTGCACCTGTATGGGAGACCAAGAGGAAGCACCTGGCTCCTGGCTTCGGGTCAGTGCTGCACGCCAGCCGCAGTGGCCATTTGAGGGGTGAACCAACAGGAAGACCTTTCTCTCTGTCTCTCTCTCTCACTGTCTAACTCTGCCTGTCCAAAGGGGGGGAAAAAAAAGATGCTACTTGGAACGATTGTTTCTCATATTGGAGTGTCTGGGTTAAAGTCCTGGTTCAGCCCTGATTCCACCTTCCTGCTAATGCATACCATGGGAAGCAGTGGCTGTGTTCTTGATACACACATGGGAGACCTGGGTTGAGTTCCCAGCTCCTGGCTTTGGCATGGCTCAGTAATGGCTGTTGTAGAAATTTGGAGAGTAGACCATGGGATAGGTTCTCTTTCAAAAAATAAATAAACTTTTTTTTTTCCAAAGATGGACAAGATTTCTTTGGCTTGTGTTGAGCTGAATTCTGTGCAGGGCTTTCACCCACATGGCTACCATGGACCATTTGAGGATGACATTTGTGTGTTTGGGGTTTGGTTTGGCTACCCCTCTACTAATTGTGAGCTTCTGTGATTCTCTTTCTTTGCTTGTGTGGGGCAGGAATTCTTGAATTCCTCCCTGAAAGAGATGGCAGTGTGTCGGTTATTGCTGGAGTGATGGTATGATCATTCTGGCCCGCAGGCCTGTGTGGCACCTTCTTCCTTCTTACCCTGCCAAATGGAGTGTGTCCTCCCGGGCAGAATGCTTTGGGTCTTGCTGAGGCTGGGGATTTCAGTGACAGGGAAGGGAGACCCAGGGCAAGGGGTGGGCCTACTCATGGACCCCAGGACTTCTGCTACTGGTGACCTATGGCCAAGAACGTCTTTCACTATG